TGTAAGTTTTTTTTTTTTTTTTTTTTTTTTTTTTTTTAGAAACGTTTCTTTTTCTTTTAAAAAACAAAACAGGATAATATTTATGCATAATTGTTATATCGTTTTCTGACCTATCCTCAAGATACATTGTAATTTATTTAATTCTATTTCTTTATTTATTTTCTGATAGGAAAAAATTTTTTTGATTCGAGAAAAAATCGATAATAGTAATAACGTTCTTTTTTTTCTTATCTAAATGAATACAATCATACAATACTCATGATTCAATATACTAATCATTCATAAAAATTCAAACAAATAAATAAATATTCTTGTTCATTTACATTTGACAAAGGAATCATCACGTGTCGTGACTATCGTAAAAAAATTTGCGTACTATGTTCAAATTATTGATTTAAATTAAAGATACGAACGATTTAATGAAATTCGATCCATTTAAATATTTAACAAACTAATCACTATGCATTGGTAGGAGTGATGAATAATAAATATAAATCAATAAATAATCTTTGAAATATCATGAAATGTACTTTTGAAGATGCTCGTAATAAGATGAAACAAGACAGTGAGATAGAGAGAAAAAGAGAAAGAGAGAGACAGAGAAAGAAAGAGAGAGACAGAAAGAGATCAAGAAACAGAGAGATAGAGATAGAGAGAGAGAGAGAGAGAGAAAGAGAGGGTGAGACAGAGAAAGAGAAACAGACGTTATTTTCTTCGGACCTTTAATCAAGAAGGAGGAACGCATAACGACGCAGAGCGTAATGAGTAATGACATCTGGTCTGTAAAGGGCGGGGCTAACAGGTCCCACGCGGTCTCTTCCGTGCGCTCGCGCGCGCGCGCGTGCATACTTCGTTACGCGTTTCTGTCCGTTTAAGCACTTACGTGCTCGATTTAAACGATCCATCCCACCTCTCAGTCCATCTCTTTCTCTCTCTCTCTCTCTCTCTCTCTCTCTATCTCTGCTCTCTCTCTCTCTCTCTCTTTCTATCTCTTTTTACGTTCATTGCATCTCTCCCTCCTTTTCTCTTTTTCTTTCGTGACTTATCTGAGAGTAGTGAGAGCGCCCGGGCTCGCGCGAACTTGACTCCGGTCAATGATTTTTTCATTTCGGTGAACCTTCAGGCTATGTAGGTATTTATATGTTTATATATGTGTGTGTATATTATATATATATATATATGTATACATGCACACATATGTGTATATATTATATACATATATATATATATATATATATATATATATATATATATAGACATTTTTGTTTTCAAGGAAATGGAAATGTCGGAAAAAAGAGAGAAAGACATAAAGAAATTATTTTCACTGTAGTAATGCTTGTAAGTCTTATTGATGAATAAATAAAAAGAAAAAAAAAAAAAAAGGAAAAGTAAAAAAGAACAATTGGAATCATGTAAAAATTATAAACTACAAATAGAATTATACGCCATGACATCGTTATGGAAATTAAAAATAAATTTAAAAATATTAATTAAAAATTAATATTAATTAAAAATTAATATTAATTAAAAATTAATAATATTAATTAAAAATTAATAAATATTAAATAAAATATAAATTAAAATATGGTTAATCGGATTTGAACTAAATTATAAATTTTGTTTTAATAATAATAATAATAATAATGATAATAATGATAATAACGTGTATAAGTAAAAAAATTAAGCAACAAAATCAAACATATGGGGAGAGGGAGAGAAAGAGAGAGAAAGAGAGAATAAATAGAGAAGCGTTCCATTTGATTAAACACTCACGTCTTTAACTGTCTTCATATCATCGGACAATAAATAAAGAAACGATTTGGCATTTATGATCATCGACGATATGCAGAATTGAATTTCTTCGTTGAGAAAGAAAAAAAGATGGATAGATAAATAGATAGATAAATAGAGAAAGAGAGAGAGAGAGAGAGAGAGAGAGAGAGGATAGCGTTATAGCGTTAAAGAAGAGCGCGATGCATTTGAATAACGGACGGATCGGATCGGATCGGGTATAATCGAACGTTCTTCTATTTGCCGCGCGAGAGCAACGTTAACGAGGTAAATCGAAAATGCAATACAAGTTCGTGTACATGTATATATATATACGTGTATATGTCTTTTAGATTGCGTCAGTATGCAACCACACACACACCCACACATATATATATACGAATACATGTTCATACATACATGCGCGTACATATGTATACATATAAACACACGTGTTTTGTATAGACACACATTCGCAAGAAGACATCCGCCTGCCGAGTATGGAATAAGCGTATCTCACAATCATAAACGCTCCGGAGCCGCTCGTTCGAGTTTTGTCGCTGACATCTGAATCGTAATCGCATACGAAATATTATAGTTCGCGAGTGAACTTCCAAATAAGGTGAGCTCCTCGTCTTTCTTATAAGGAACGATAAACTACCCTACATTAGGATGTCCGAGCCATCTCTGTTCTTCTCTCTTATTTTTCTTTTTTTTTTTTCTATCGTTCTATCTATCTTATCTCTCTCTCTCTCTCTCTCTCTCTCTCTCTCTTTCTTTCACTTTAAAGAACACAGAAGAACGAGTCCGTTGTGTAATCTTAATGACTTTAATAGCGAAAAGGACTACGTTCGCTTATGCGAGCATTTGCAACGCGAAAAGCCGCATAATTTAGCGAACGAGTGTGTCCGCATACCATCGCTATGCTCGAAAGTCTGTTTCTTCGAGGTGCCGGAATACATGCTCTCTACTAGTCTGTATAAACGCAAGTATGAAAGAGAAAGAGAGAGGGAGAGAGAGAGAGAGAGAGAAGGTGGGAGAGAGAGAGAATATTTGAATAATCGAGACGCGATTTCCACGTTCGAACTTTCAAACGCTTAGTACGCGCAAATTAATCACCTTAATTACGAATAATAGCGTGACCGATTCTATCCCAGTTCAAATCCATTCAAAGCACGATTTATTAATGATATTCTGAGATGCGGTTTATTTTCGAATATGGTTTGCGTTTAGTAAAGTGTTAATAAATAGTAATTTCACGTATGGCAAGTCGTAAATTAGAACATTTTCTATACCATATTTTCTATCTATCTATCCATCTATCTATCTATCTATTTATCTATCTATCTATCTTTCTATCTTTCTTTCTGTTTCTCGTGCTCTTACGGTTTTCTATGAACGAATACGCGACAAATTCATGCTTCGGTTCTAGCCTTCTTTGGTGCGAGCGCGCGTGGGCGCATTTACTTCGAACGGAATTACAGTCCTCACTTACTCCATCGTATCTCTCGGTCATTTTAGTATATAAGTAACTGCAATCGCGAACCGTGACCGTTGCCCGTACCATCTGGTTTACGTAATTACACGCAGACACATAGAAAGAGCACAGGGACGAGCTGTTCCTACCACAACCGCTTGCTTTGCTTTGCTTTGCTTTGCTTTGACTTGACTTGACTTGACTTGACTTGCCTTGCCTTGCCTTGCCTTGCCTTGCCTTTGCTTTGCTTTGCTTTGCTTTGAAGACTCTCCGGAAGTAATCTTTGCCGTTACGAAGGTGCTACGCTCGACTATGTCATACATACTCTTTCTTCTTTTATTACTTCTTCTCCTTCTTCTTTTCCTTTTTTTTTTGTTTTCCTTTTATACTTATTGTTACTTCTTCGCAATTTGTCGCTGACTTATTCCGTCGTCGTATAATTGCTAAAGTGTAGATATCTTTTAAAATTTTAATATACATCAGGATTTATCTTAGTTTTAATAAATATGTTTGTTTAGTTTTTTCTATTGAGAGGATTTTTTTTTTTTTTTTTTTTTTTTTTGTAAAAAGAAGAAAAAACGTAAATTATTTACGAATATAAATATATGTTTATATTGATACGATTTCAGACAAGAGACACTCTATATGCGTTATTGTTAAAGTATCGAATTGAATTATTCTAAATCGTAATGGAATATACATTATGATTAATAAATTAGACTATCAAAAAGAAATTCTATTTCATAATTGCTCAAATTAGTAAATTATATCGTCAAAGAGGAATTTTATTTCTTAATTGAAACAAAAAGATATTCTTCTCGTTTTCATTTTGACATATTCTAGGCCGTAATGGAATAGATTGTAATTAATAAGTTAGAACATCGAAAAGAAATTCTATTTCATAATTGATCCAATTAATAAATTATACTGTCGACAAGGAATTCTATTTCATAATTGAAAAAAAAAGAAAACCAAATGAGAAAAAGAATAAGAAACGATATTCTTCCTTTTTCATTTGGACATAGCACGTGTCAGAATTTTGATCGAGGACAAGGAAATATATAAGCGCTGTCGTTTCGATGATAGACGATTGTTAAGATTATCACAGTAAAAAAAAAAAAAAAAAAAAAAAAAAAAGAAAAAGGAACACACGAGACGGATATTATCCTCCACGATAGAATAGGATTTAGCAGATGTCATATTACCGACTGGAAATGGGTGTGGTATTGCTTCCAGTAACACTTTTGCAATCAATCATACATTTGATTATATTATACACTTGACCGAAAGTAGGTTATTTCTCAGGAAGTCGATACCTGTAATAATCTGAGTCTTTCTTGAGTAATCGGACTCTCGAATTCTGTTTCTGATCGATCTCTTTGAAATATCTCTCGGTTCAATATTAAACCAAGGATTAATGTATTATTTTTACTATTTATCCTTTTAAAAATCGTTTTAATAATCAACAACAACATTGGTACGTGTAAAGACGGTATACAGGATGATTCCAAATACATGTTCAAATTGATCGAATAAAAACTATGTGACATCGATTAGGATCTTATACGATCGATTTATTTTTTCTTTTTCTTTTCTTTTCTTCTTCTTCCTTTTTTCCTTTTTTTTTTTTTTTTTTGATAAAATTTAGTTCCGCAGGTAAAAGATTTTTTTTTTTTTGTATACTTTTTATTTGTTTTATATATACAGGATGTTACAACAATCGTTAGACCATCCTGTATAATACATACCGTTTGAACTTCCAAGATTCGATTACTTCGTCCGGCACTTTCGAATATCACGCTCGAACAGTCACGCAACTAAGCTAATCTCGTGAATGGCTATACGCTTCGACGCAGGTTCACAATTTTTTTTGTCTATGTCTCTAGTAACTGGTACGTATCCATCCGCTCGAAGCTAAAAAGGAGAACAGAGTAAAGATTGAAACATTAAATAATAATAAAAGAAAAAAAAAAAAAAAGAAAAAGAAATAACAAGAAAAAAGAATCTCAGAAAAAGGAACTTTGATAAATCGTTGCTGCTTTCGAATAGTAATATACTTTTTTTTTTTTTTTTTACTTAATTTGTATTTTTATAATTTATTAATTTTTAGGACAATTTATATGACAAATGTCAACGAAATCTTTCTCCTAAAAATAAAACGAATGTATTTTGAATATTTAAATCGATATCGTAAAGATTTATTTCTTTTTAAGAAGTGGAAAAAGAAATTGACAGATTCATCAAAATAAAATAAAATGAAACTTATTATTTTATCGATCATAAAATAATTGATAAAAATATCTTCTTAAATATCGTTAATTAGTGGCGAATAAAGAAAGGAGAAAAAAAAACAAGAAAAAAGAAAAAAGAAATTATTAAATATCAATCCTCTATAAAACTTAATGTAAATCGCGCACTCATACATTATCTATATCTTTTAATATCTCATTTCACGTTTTCACCACACAAAATAATAATAATAATTAATTCATGTTCGAAAGTTAATGTTTCCTAAGTATAAGCTATATACCACAAGTTTCGTGTTATATAATAATGTTCTTTTCTTTTTTCTTTTCTTTTTCATTTTTTCTTTTCTTTATAGACATTAATAAAAACGATTTGGATATATAACGTATAGATGTTTAAGAGAAAGAGAAAAAAAGGAAGTAGAACGATAAAGATAAAGATAAAGATAAAGATAAAGATAACAATAAAGTGTAAAATAAAGATGAAGATAAAGATATAGATATGGATAAATATAAATATAAATATAAATGTAAGGATAAAGATAAAAAAATAAGGTTAGAAAGAGAAAGAGAAACGTAATATAATAAAGGAAAGAGAGAAGGAAAGAAAGAAATATAAATAGGGAAAGAAGAAAAATAAAGGGAAAAAAAAGAAAAGGCCAACGCGAGGATGATCTTGACGCGCGTTGAACGCGTTTCTATCGAGGGTTCGAGTGCGATCCCGATCGTAGCTCGACAGCATCCGCCCGCGCAATGGACCAGGCGCGTCGAAGGGGGCCGAGCGTTGGCGAAGCCGGTCGAACGCGGACGAATAGTAGGCTCGAATCGTGCTCGCGCGACGCATCGGTTCGAACGCGCGCTCGAGTACCGCTCTTGGTTTATCTATCTTTCTCTCTTTCTCTGGCATACACATACATAGAGAGAGGGAGAGAGAGAGAGAGAGAGAGAGAGAGAGACACAAATACTAACAGAGACTCAAAGAGTAGTAATCGTCTTCGTCATTCCTCGTGTCTCTCGACTTAACGCTCGCGCGCCAGACGTTCCGACAGGCAAACGCGTTCTCGATACTCCCGTACGTGCCGTGCGTTCGGTCGTTGCGCGCGAAATCGAACTTTCGATCTATCGAAATTTGAAAAGTGATCGTACAAAAGAAAAGAAAGAACAACGACAACAACAACAACGACGAGAAAAAAAAAGAAAAGAAAAACAAAAATAAGAGAAAGGAAAGTAAACGGAAAAGTGAAGAAAGATCGTGCATATCTTTCTTTCTTTATTTCATTCTTCATTTCTTTCTTCATTTCTTTCTTTCTCATTTGACCCTTTTTTTCGTTTACTCGTCACAAGCGAGTTGGACTTGAAAGAAACTTGAGGACTCTAAAAGAGAGAGAGAGAGAGAGAGAGAGAGAGAGAGAGAGAGAAACAAAGGAAGATAAATGAAATAATGTGAGGGGAAAAAAGAAAAAGGATAAGGAAAGAAGAAGAAAAAGTTCAGTGCTCGAAACTTTGAGAAATAAAGATTTTTGTGATTATTTCATTGTGTTTTTCTTCGAAAGTAATATTACGAAAGTGCAAAGCCAAGGATCCTGGACTGATGGATTTTATTTGTTTGTGCAACGAAGATACAGAAAGAAGAACGACAAGACGAATGTGAGAATTTATTGTTATACGTAATTTTGAATTAATTCGTTCCTTCAGAAACGAAGAATTCGTCGTCGTTGACAAGTGGAAAAGGAAGGAGCTTGCTCGTTGACAAAGTGGACAACGTCAGTATAATTCTCGTTATGGATTCCTTCTCGACGGTGAGTAATTACTTTAATTACAATAATTAACAATCTAGAAATTTTTCATTAATTCTTCATATTTATTCTTTTTTTATTTTGCTTTTTTTTTTTTTTTTTTTTTTTGAAGGAACAAAAACATTCGTTTGTATCGAAAGCGTTCGAAAATTTTCCTTTATTATATCAACCGAGACACAGACGCGGCGTCGTTTCTGCACTTTACGAGAATCCCGCAACAAAAATAGATCGTACAAGTAATTTAATAATCGCTACGAAAGTCTAACTCACTATATGCGCATTATCCAATGACGGATGCTCGTCTTTTGAAAAATATTTCTCACGCATGTAGTTTTGTATATATATATATATATATTTTTTTTTTTTCTTCGTGCGTTATTTATATATATATTTTTTTTATTATTTTCATTTGTATTTTTATCTTTTTTTTTTTTTTTTTTACTTAAAACATTGTGAAAGAAGCATCAAGGAATTTTCGTTTAATCGGACAATTTGTTTTCTTCTAATGAAATCGACTTTGTGTTCTGTCGAATAGAGACATTTGTCGCTAGAACTAGAATTCGATCAAGCCGGTTATAAACGCCATTATATCATCAAATAAGAAAGAAAGAAAGTGAAAGAGAGAGAGAGAGAGAGACTAATACACACAATGGATTACCCACACTGGATATTCTTATAAACCGCGATCGGAATGATAATAGCTATCGGTAATTTACGATCCCTAGATCATTATATGTACCTATCTGCAGATACGTGCACACTTGCCAGGCCTCTTGTCAAACGAAAGTATCGAAATTTCTATTCGTTTCTCGTTCGCAAATATTTTTCGACACCTTCTTTCTTAATCGTTTAAAGATAAATCAATTCACTGGTATAAAGAAAAAGAAACAAGAATGGGTTGCTATATGATGACGTTTCCTATATTGATGAATATATACTTATATATATTATACTTATATATATATATATATATATATATATATATATCAAATAAAAAAAATAAAAAGAAAAAGAAAATAAAAATAGAAGGAAAAGGAAATAAGAAAGTAAATGTTTTTCTTTTCGACAAATGTATGTAATTAGACATAATTTTTAACAAAAAGAGTAAAGAATAAATGAAGATAATAAATCGTCGATATGATGAAGATAAGCAGAAGTTAAGAAAATGTAGAAAATTAGCAATTAATTAAAAGAGCGAATAGGAAGCTATGTATTTTTACTCTGTTTCTCTCTCTCTTTCGGAGGTTTAATAATCTAACATGTGAGGAAATAGCGTAGACAAAGGACGTTTATCGGTCGAAAGGTCAAGATCGCCTTTATTTACCATCCAAGATGGTAACCGCGTTCGCATTCGTTCGCGCACGCTCAAAGCGACGTGCGATTAATCGTTGAGACTATCATAACATCTCTATGTCGGTCCTTGCAATGCTAAGAGAGAAAATAACCGAAGGAATTTAACGCGACGGGTTGTGTGTATGTATGTACCTGGTTACTTGCCTGCAGGTTTCACGTAAAAAGCCAGAATACGATAGCGATCTGAAAGACGCTGCTGCGCATTAGCATAATCTTTAATATGCGCCTTACGCGCAACGAGTCCCTTGAAACGCGTCGAATAGTTCGAGCTTTCGAAAAATACGAAAGGTCGTGACTATCCATTAACGAAGAATCTTAAAATAATAATGAAACGGATAACGTTTATTATTATTATTATTATTATTATTATTATTATTATTATTATTATTATTATTATTATTATTATTATTATTATTATTATTATTATTATTATTATCGTTATGAGGAAAGCAATAAAAATTGTTTTAACGTCCAACCGATAATTTAGGATCGTCAAGCGAATACTTCTGATCGGTAGTATAAAAATAAACAACCCATCATAATGAATATTACCATATGTTACATCAAAAAGATAAATCAATTTGGAACAGAAGATTCATTATAAATAATCCATTATGAAATCGTACGTAGAATGATCATCAAAGAATTAATTTTAAGATTTACATAGTTAATCGTAGTTAATCTTGATATCACGAAACATGTCATATATTATATTTTGTCAAACATTTAAATTAGAAAGAAATCTGTACGTTGAAAGTCTAACGAATAAATAAAAACAATTCGTGTTTCATGATTAATGATATATTACAAATAAAAAGAAAGAAAAAGATCTATGAGAGAGAGAGAGAGAGAGAGAGAGGAAGAGAGGGGGAGAGAGAGAGAGAGACGTTATATTCTTCGCGAGGAAATATTTTCATTTACTTCACCTAATCTTGATCGATACAAGCGAGATAAGAACAGCTGTTATTTCGAAGCTTCTTCATGCATTCGCGATTACGAATGTCTATTTGACCTCCAACGAGCTCCTTGAAATCGTATGTGGATGAAGTCATTTTTTTCAGGAAGAGAAACGGAAAGTTCCTCCTTTCCTCTTTTTTTTTTCTTCTTGTCCTTCTTGTGCTACATCTTTTTCTTTTTCTTTTTCTTTTTCTTTCCGATTTAACTTCAAACATAATTTCACCTTATCGATGTTCCGTCGTTCGCTTACAACACGTATAACATAACGATAAATCGTTTCAACTGCCATTTTAATTTCCATGCTACGTTATCGAGCAAAGTCGAAACCAAAATCGAATCGACAAGATTTACGGAACAAAATCAACGTTTCTTGCGACTTTATCTGAGTCCTTTATATGCTTGTAACAATCAAATCTCATATCATTGTGTCGCTTTTTTTTTTTTTTTTTTTTTAATATATTTCTTATTCCTTTCATTTCATCCTACAAACGATATAATGCACATTGTTATTCAAACAATGAATGACATATTTCGAAAGAATGGAATAATTTAATCGTCCGATAAAAAAGAAAGAAAAAGAAAAATGATAAAAAGGAAAACAAATTTACAAGGTTTTAATAACAAAAATCTTAGTGTACCATACTTACTTATTATACTAATCGAATTCTTACTCACATATTTATTTATCATACTAATCGAATTATTTAATAATAAAAACGGAAAAGATACCTGTAAAATATTAGAACGTTCGAATAATAAATATTCTATAATATCATAATTTTCATACTTGTCATCGTATCGTTCACTTGTCAGTTTTATCATTCAATAAAAACAATAACAAATTTAAATTATCATACTTGTTATTCTAGTATTATCATACAACAGAGAAATAAAATTAAGAATTGAAACGTTTTAATAAAAAAAAGATTTTAAAAATAATACATTAATTCTCACTCTTTCATATTATATAATAAATCTATATCTATAATATAATAAAACGATATTAAATAAAAATTATAATATCCAAATAAAACAAAATGAAAAAAAGAAAAAAGACGAAGGGAGAAAGAGAGAGAGAGAGAGAGAGAGAGAGAGAGAGAGAGAGAGAGAGAGATTCTGCTGCAGCACAATTCTCATACTTGCCATCCCAGTCTCGATCTTGGTCTAGATCTCGATCTCGATCTCGATCTCGGTCTCGATCTCGGTCTCCGATCGGATGATCTTCGCAAAGATAACAGAATCTTGCGAGTACATCGATGAATGGAGAGAAGCAACTTCTTCTTCTTCTTCTCCACCTTCTTTTCCTTCCCTTCCTTCTTCTTCTCCTCCTTCATCTTCTTCCTATTCGCGGATATCTCTCCGCGGCACACGAGCCGAAGGAAACGAGTATACGGTAGCTCCGCTCGCAAAAAGTCGGAATAACGCGCCAACCTGGCGCTGCGAAGCGATCAACAATGGCGATCACGTGTACACCGGCGCTTCGTGAAACACAGATATACAAACACATACACGCGTACACATACACACAAACATACACACATATATATATACACACACACGTAAGTATGTATATATACACGTTTTGTCGCGACATGACCGGCTGACGTAAAAGCACCAATGCGTGCGTGAGTGCATGCGTGCGTGCCTCTTTCTACGTACGTATATACTCACTTACTTACTTACTTACTTACTTACTTACGTACTTATTTCTTTCTTTCTTTCTTTCTTTCTTTTCTCTTGGCGAATAAACGTGAGCGCGAGCGCATAAGCAGCAACGGCGCCAACGACGACGAAGAAGACGACGACGACGACGACGACGTCGTTCTGCCGTCTCAAGCAAGCTCCCATAGACGGTACAAACAAGGGCTGAAGTAGATACAAGTAGGTAGGGCTCTGAGGGCATGAATGGGAGCTTCATTCATGTTCCCTTCTGGGCCTTGTTGTACGCGCGACACGCGTGCCTTCTCTCTCTCTCTCTCTCTCTCTCTCTTTTTCTCTCTCTCTTTCTCTCTTTCTCTCTTCCTTTCTTTTGTCTCCTTCGTGTAATCAAGTAACGATACCTTGTCTTATATATATATATATATCTTTCTCTCTCTTTTTCTGTAAAATAACTCGATGTTTACAGTTTGTTCAACATATTGTTGAAACTTATCGACTTATTTTTTTTCTCTAATAAAATATTGTTATTAAAAGTAATATGTAAAATTGAATTATTTTTAATTTATACTTTCAGATAATATTCTCTTTGTCTATTTTTCCTTCTCTCTTATTCCTTTTGTAATATAAATGACTTATGTTAACGCATTACAGACTGAAGATCTATCCAGTTAGTTTTTTTTTTTTTTTTTTTTTTTTTTGATATTACGAAAAGTCAAGTGATATTACGAAAAGTAATAAAGTGGGAATCGTTTTTAATTTAAATTTAATTATAATATCGGACTTTTTAATGTGATCATCACCATCTCTCTCTCTCTCTCTCTCTCTCTTTCTCGCTCTATCTTTCTCTCTATCTATCTGTCTCTTTCTAGCTCTATCTTTTTCTGTAAAATAAGATAATGAAAATTACATCAACATATCTTTGACAGAAGATATATCAACTTATTTTTTCTTCTTCAAAGATCGTTATTAAAAGTGACGCTATATTAATTATAAAGCAAAATTCATTTATCTTTCCTTTTTTTTTTTATATTTACGATTATTAGAACACTTCAATGATTACTTCAATAATGGTTTTATTTAGACATATATAAAGTTTCAAATAATTAATATGCAAATAAAGTTACTAATATACATTATGATTGATGCACTGATGTGTTTTTATATTGACTTATACAACGAATATTCGCTAAAAAGTGTTCATAATTACGTAAAACGGTCGATCAACAATATTTTAACATGACAGATACGTGACCATAATTAATATAAATTAAAAAAGAAATAAAGAAGAGGATTGAGAATTATTTGATTTTCTTGATTTTTTTTTCAATTTTTTTCTTTCTTTTCTCTTTTTTTTTTTTTTTTGAATACAAGATACACACAGACATACATTCACACGTGCACGCAATACAAATTTCTTAAATATTAATTGATTAAATTTTATAAATTCGATGAAATTCAAAATAAAGTTTCCTACTCTCGGAATGTTATTTTATTAGTCATGGAAAAACCAATTACAATAATTTCGACGAATTAAAAATCATTTTGACATACAGCGGTAAAGCTATGTATTTATATGGCTCACGAACTTTTCGATAATGTTAATGTGCGTGAATATTAATAAGACGTTGGGAAGATACATGCGTTATCCTTCCATCTGAAAAGTTGGGAAGGGGAAATCGAAGTACGAGGAACGTGCTTCGATGAATGGACCGTGGGATGCTGGGTGGCACGTGGGTGAAATTACAGACGATTTACGTTCGATTTCATGGCGGTTCACCGTACTCGATAAGATCGTACGACGTTTAAAAAGTTGTTAACGGAAGGCATCGAGTACATCGTGAATCGATTTAAAGTTTCGAATCGTCTTCGAATCATCTTCTTTCTTACCTTAAGGCTCACGTGATTTTGCTCTCTCTCTCTCTCTCTCTCTCTCTCTTTCTCTCTTTCTCTCTCTCTTTCTCTCTTTCTCTCTCTCTTTCTTTTTTTTTGAAACGTTGAAAGATTTACGCCTATTCGAAATCGCTTTTAGCAACGTCTCAAAGCAGAGAAAGTAACCGATCGATCGTTAGTTAAACGCAGCAAATTGCTCCGATCGACATTTCCCTTAATGAGCGAAGAAATCCGCTTTCCTATGATTATGAAAGGCACGAGAGCACGATTCCTACGAGGTTTCGCGTTTGAATCGATGTTGAATTAAAATGGCACGTTATAATACAAATTGCAAAATATTATTGAAAGAAGTAAAATTCTATTTCTGAAGCGTATAGTTGTTACGTAAAAAAAAAAAAAAAAAAAAGAAAACGAAAAAAGAAAACGAAAAAAGCACGCACACACATACAAACACAAACACAAACACATATCATTAATTTATACGTAAGTCCTTTCCGTGGGATAGATTTAAAAAAAAAAAAAAAAAAAACCCCGGATGATGCGGTTATAGTATCTTGAAAAAAAAAAAGAAAAAGAAGAAAAAAATTAAGAAACAAAAATAATAAAAAGAAAAACAATAATCGATTTAACAGATCGAAGTCATGTCGTTTAACACTAAGGTTCTCTTCAGTAGAAAAGGTTACCATCGAGTGAACTGGAAAAAAGTTATGGAATAAAGTATCGATACTGGTAAAAGAGAATCATATTGGAAGAAACGATGGAATGTACGGGACAAAGTTCTTTTCTAGGAACGTGTGAGCATCTCGTCAAGGGATCCGCGAGACGCATAAAATAGTTGTATAGAGGGTCGACTATTATCTTCTTAGAACGTATCCACTCATATAATGTCTGTCTTGTCGACGAAGCAAGGGAATGCGATGTTTGATGAATGAAGATAGATAAGGAAATCGATAGATAGAGAAAGAGAGAGAGAGAGAGAGAGAGAGAGAGAAAGAGAGATGACGAAGAAGAAGCTGAGAAACTAGACGAACCAGAACTAGGTAGCTGTTTTCTATCAATGAGACCAGTCTCTTGCTCGTTTTCTGAAGACTCACTTCCAATCGTTACTGATAATTCGTTTAGCACTTTTGATCTATATAAGGAATTGAAATAGGTATATTACATTAAAATTTTTCTTTTACGATTTTCATGTCATTAACAGCAATCATCGAGATCGGTGATACAATTTATAATCTTATATTCTACTTTACATTGAATTTTCTTATCGTTTTTCTTCCTTTTTATTTTTCTTTTTCTTTTTTTTTTTTTTTTTTTTTTTTTCGTAAAGACATCAAAATAAAATTAGATGACGTTAAAATGATCTAATTCGAATGTTACATTGTACGAATGAAACTTTCCAATTTACATATTTCGACATTTCGAATTATTAGAATTAAAGTTAATCATATGTTTATAATGAATCATTAAATAAGTGTTAATATTCTCAGTATTAGTGCGTAGAACGTGAAGGTTACCATTGTTGAAACTTACAAAAGTTTTGAAACATTTCTAAGAAAATTCTTTTCGTACGTTCGTTCGATTTTCTTCGTTGTCGGTCATTTATGATGATCAAAGGACATGGAAGACACCACGCATCAGTGTCCCGAGATAGGCATAGCAAGATGGAAGTATGGTCGTTGGTGTTGTTATCCCAAAACCAGAAGTCTCTAAGTAACACCAGGTGCACGCACGTTATGGAGAAACATTCTAAGTTTGGTAGGCTAAAAAAGTCTCTTCGTTCGTTCGCTGCAAACGGAGGCATACATCGTCGTCCTCCTTCTCTCTCTCTCTCTCTCTCTCTCTCTCTCTCTCTTACTCACCCTTCTCTTCACCCCCCCTCCCTGTTCATCCTTCATCCTAACAAGGAAGATTGCCCGTATATCGAGTTGGGCTTTCTCCCGTCTCGAACATTTTTGAGTTCGAACCCATAGCCAGGGATTCGTCCCGTCTAAGGAGATCCCCTTGATAGGAATTAACGATTTTCGAACTTCATTTGGTAGATACACTCTTAATAAAGAGATCGGATCTTTCGTTTCTCTTCCAGTTACGGAATTCCTCAGGGGTTGATGAGGATTCTCGAGAGACACGAAGAAAATGCGTTGTTATCGTATGATGATTCTCGTCGGGCTCAAATTGACTTTTATATATATATACATATATACATATATATACACACACATTATATATATATGTGCCATGACGGTATATGTATATATAAGTGTATTGCTACGTAAGTGGCAATCAAAGAAAGCTTTCGTGGTACTAATCCATCAGCCTCTGGGCATACCAGGGTCTTGTTTCGTCCATTACTTTGGTTTGCACTGACGAGACAGTACAAGGTTTCCTAAAATAAAGCTAAAACAGGTGTGGTCAACTTCGAAATAGAATAAGCAATTTCGTGAATTGGCTACGGACAACGAGATGGATTTCATCAGATGCCAATTTCCATGAAAACCATTTTTGTTGCGCAATTGGTTATCCTCGTTTTGCTTTTTTTTCTTTTTTTTTTTTTCTTTCTTTATTTCTTTTTTCTTTTTTCTTTTTTCCTTTTTTTTTACGAAATTTCATCTAAATCATTCGAAGAATTATATATAACGTATATGTAAGAAATAAAAGTTCGATTATAGAATTGGTAGATAAATCATGTGGAAAGTAAACATTCGTCTATTCTCATTATATATTTATAATTTTCATTAGAACATTATCTCTCTTTGTAAATGCCTTATCGAAATGTACCCGCCTCATTGAATTATATCAGATAACGACGAATAATCGAAATAATCGACGTAATCAATTGGGTATCGCGCGAGTAAAGAGCTCATTAACAATTCAGCTCGTTAGCTATTACGCAAACGATTGATATATATATATATATATATATATATATATATATATATATATATACAGAGTGGCCAATTTAAATTGAAGACATTTGTGAATATATATTACGTTATTTATCAATAAATGAATTATGCTTTTGAGAAAAATTGATTTTAAAGAATAGTCTTTCTATCGTTATATTTAATGTCGTACTGTTATAACAAAACTATGATATTAAGGTGTTAATATATATATGCTCCACCATATATATATGTGCGTGTGTATATGCATGTATGTATACTTATTTTAAGGCGTTCAATCGAGCTGTCAGAGACGCGAATTCAGAGAAAGCGAGAATAAAAAGGGGATTATAATAAATTGCTCTCAGTTTGTGGCCAGCAACAACGTTTCATTCTCGCATTCGAGAAACTCTTTTCGGAAAGAAAAGTCGTGTCTTTTAAACGGCTCTTGAACGAAATCGATCGCGATTATCGCGTCGAGACTCGATCGTTTTCGTTAGCCTCGCATACACATTGTTTGCATTTTGCCTTTGATTAATGGCTCGGCAGTACGTCCAGCGCTAATTGCGAGACTCCTTGATATATACGTAAGTATCTATGTGTATATACATATGTATATATACATACGTACGTATGTATTCGTAGTACTTTTATAAAAGTGGCTATTGCTTAAAGGTAGAGAAAGATACATATAATATAATGAGATACGAGGCGCGTCGAGGAGTCGTTTACCATCGTCCATAGTGATCGATGACATTGGCACATATACATATACATATTTATTTATTTATTCATCTCTTTATGTTTCGCTCATCCAAAACCGTTCGTACGGTGTTTTCTTTCTTTCTTTTTTTTTTTTTTTCTTTTAATTTTCTTTTTATTGTTTTTCCTCTTTGTTCTCTCTCTCTCTCTCCCTCTCTCTCTCTCTCTGTCTCTTTTTTTTTTCTTCTTTTTTTACATCGTTTCATATTCTATTTATTATTTTAAATTAAAGCAATACGATTGCAAAGGAATCTTTCGGATCGATCGATATGATAAAAATTCGACAATGTATCTAAAAGATCGTTATCGATCATTTTGCATATATATGCATGCATAAATACTAACGACCTGGTTTCCACGTTTCTTGAACACCATTAGCATTGATCGTCAAGGTATTTAAATAACTACGCGCTATTACATTGGTGCTTCGATCCACCACTGTTCTATGTATAAAAAAAAAAAGCGGGAAAAATGGGAATCGAGCGACAAATAAATACATAATGCGCGCGAGACCAACGCGTCGTTTGCGTGGGTGTCGGTATTTTCGTTCTAACCTAATTCAGTAGTTCTAGTGTTACATGGTGCCATCCTAAATATAAAATCTAGCGCGCAAGATCTTCCCTCCCTTTCTCTCCCTCTCTCTCTCTCTCTCTCTCTTTCTCTCTTTCTCTGTTTCTCTCTTCTTTTCGTGTCTCTCTCTCCATCTGTCTGTCTGTCTGTCTGTCTGTCATTCTATCTTTCTTTCTTTTCCCTTACTTATCTCTCGAAGGCACGCGAATTTTGTTCCAAATTCCAAAGAAATCGAAAAAAAATTCCAAGAGAGATCGAATACCACGAGGAAGAAGAAAAAAGAAGAAGTAAACAAAAAAAGAAAGAAAAAAAAAAAGAAAAACGAAAAAGACAAATAAAAAAGAATAAAATCTTTTGTATCGACGTGAGTGGCCATTAAAGATTGAGACAGCCATATTTTCTCGAATTAGCGAATATGGCGATTGAAAGAGAAGGAGAAGGAGGAGAAGAAGGAGGAGAAGGGTTTGGTGGAGGTGACCGGTTGCAGGATCGGTACGTTCGATCTTGCACGCTTGGTGTTGTTCTTAAGAAAGAGAGGGAAAGAGAAAGAGAGAGATAATGATAGATTACTAGATAGATAGATAGATAAGATAGATAGAGAGAAAGAGAAAGAGAGAGAGAGAGAGAGAGAGAGAGAGAATAATAGAGGGGCAGAAAAAGAAAAAAAGAGAGAGAGAGACAGAGATAGAGATAGATAGATAAAGACAAAGATAGAGATAGAGAGAAGGGAGGATCAAGACGGGAGGAGGTCTTCGATTAAAGGGTGGGAGAATTTCCACGTTGGGAGAACTGCCAATCGCGATTCGCGGTTCTTTGCCTTCTCAAGTTTGCCGCTTCGATTGCCCATGCATCTCGGTAAAGATCGCGAAAGAGAATGATAATGACAACGCCTGTAGCTTTCCCACTTCTCTCTTCTCCATCCCTTTGCCGCCATCTCTACCTCCTCCTTCAGCATCCTTTCTCCACCTCCTACTTGAAATTGCATTCGTTGGCATGACATTTATATTTATTCCATATACTTACTTACTTACTTACTTATTACTTGTCCAGCTGGGAAAAGTTTAACGACTTACGAGCATCAACGATAAACAACCAGTAGCTAACCAACCAATCTGACCGTCCGTCCAATCAAAGTTCCATCGAAGCGTGCATGCGTGCGTTCGTGCTCTTATAAATACCGCGATATCATTACGAATTCGCACTTGCAATGAGTATTATACTTTAACCTGGTAACTTTTCGCGATTGAACGGATACGTTATTGCATCGTATAAATGTATATATATATATATATATATATATATATATATATATATATACGTATACATGTGAATGTTTCGTATTAATACATACTGGAAAAACTAGCTGGCAAAAAGTTTCGTCAAAATGTTAACCTCGTTGTGATCGAGCATAAATGTTTGATAGATCTGAGAGAATAAGAGAGAGAGAGAGAGAGAGAAAGATAGGTAGGTAGGTAGGTAGGTAGATAGATAGATAGATAGATAGATAGATAGATAGATAGGTAGATTGATAGATAGATTTCCGGGTGCATAATACAGCAATACATAATTAAACGTACTTGATATGTGAGACAATAAAACATTGAAATACACGTGATAAAATGACTATAAAAAGAATGTTTTGTAAGTGTACGTTAAAAAAAAAAAAGACAAAGATCTTTTGTGTGTGTGTGTGTGTGTGTGTATGTGTATGTGTGTAAATTATTGGAGCAAATAAAGATAAAAAATTTATCGTTATGTTTCTTAATAGCATTCAATTCTTTGTAAAGAACGATATAAATACGTGTCAAGGATATCGTGTATAAATTATTAATAATAAATAAAAATGGTTTTATTGTCAATTTATTCGTTTTTGATTGTTATATACCAATTAGAAATGGTTATCATTTGATGTGACCGAATTAACTGGAGGAATTGTTTTTGATTATAGTTTTGAACTAACATACAAATGCTTTATCACTTTCGTCTAAGTGGTGACGCAACGTCATCGAACTTTTGCAGTACCTACAGATTATTATCGCCATGGATTTATTATAATAAAGGATCTGGTTATAGAACGTATAATGCCAATCTCCTGAATCTGATCATTCAGCATTTATTCTAAAACTGTATCGAAAGTCAATCTACTATATTTTTATTCTAACAGAGTAATTATATAATATAGAAGAACAAAGTACGAAATAGGAAACGATAAGAACATAACTTAAAAACGGAAGCATACGACGTTATTTTTTAACACTAGACGTAAAAAAAAAAAAGAATAGGAAACAGAGAAATGAAAGAGACAGACAGAAGAGTGAGAGAGAGAGAGAGAGAGAGAGAGAAAGGGAGAGAGGGAGAGAAAGAAGGAGAAGGAGGGAAAGAGAGATCTTTTTGATGTAGACCGGTTTTTCAATATTTTTTTCGAAAGGAAACAACATAGCAACGTGCCCATTAACGTCATGGACATTTCGTCGACGGCTTTGAATTCTCCATCTTGGATTTGACGCCTACGTAAAAAGACAACGATTTCATAGTTCTCCGACGAATTGCGTCATTGCCAAATTAAAAGCACAAGACTATTTTGAATAGTATTTCACTAAGGAAAAGGTGCGAGCAATTTAACGGTATTGCTAGTGATGGCACCTTCTTCCTTTTCGATTTCTACTTATGCGTGGGCGAACCAATTGGACTAACTGTAAGTCAGTGGTCCATACTTGAGACTCGTGAGAACGGATTTCTCTTCGAGAGAGCTCCGAAAGCTGCGTTATAACGATGATCCGGTTGAATCAACTTACTCTTCTTCTTCTTCTTCTTCTTCTTCTTCTTCTTTTTCTTCTTCTTTTTCTTCTTCTTTTTTTCCTCTTCTTTTTCCTCGTTGATGATGATTCCTTCGGAGTGTCGGCAGAAAATGAGAGTTTTGTGAAAGTTTCTTTTGATGCGAAGTTCATTTATTTTCCATATCTAAATTAAGTATAGTCATGTGTTCGATGATTTATGAACAATAATATATAAATATAATATATTAATATATTATATATATATATATATATATAGAGTGACCTGTTTATTTCAAAAAATTGAAATATTTTAAGAGTGATTAAATTTAGGAAAAAAATTTCTTTTTAGAGAT